CATCTGTCCTGTCTTGCTCTTCTTTCCTTTATAACATGCAGAAGTGGGCTATAACTTAATCTAAAATGAGATAACGTAATTTATAAATTATACACCTGCTATTTATCATTTTTTTAGGAAACTTCTACCTTCCAATTTACATGATAGATAACAAAAAAGATTTACATGTTTTAATACATACTATGTTTTAACATATAATAAATGCCTGTCTATCTGTAAATAAAATAGATAATATAATATAAAATAAATATAACATAATTATAATATATGTGCTATATTAACATATATGCATTTACCTAATGTCTTTATGCAAGGACAGTATGCACTTGACTGGTAAATTTTATATAAAAAAATGAAGCTATTAACTTGTTATCTTTGAACAATTGCCTGAATGGCTGTTTATTTACTCATTTTTTCATGAAACATTTAATGATCATAGTAAACTCTAGGTACTATGATAGTAATCAGAGTTTCATTAACTATCTTCCATTTGTATTTAAATACATAATATATATTTATAGTGGTTATATTGAGAAGAAATTACATCTTTCTTTGTGATGTGTCATCAATAACATTTTTCTATAGTTTATCGTAGGTGTTTACTAAGGGATACTTTTGATTTACATATAGTTAAATTTGTCAAGTGTTTGACTTATATTTAATTAAATGCATTAATCATAACTTCTCAACTATGGATTTTGAATTCTGTTCACAGAAGGGAGAGAACTTTGAGAATTTAAATGGAGTGTACATATAAAAATGTTCATGAAAAATCTTGCATGCATTTTTATATCAGTCTATAAGAAGTTTTCTAAAAGGAAGCTGACCATTCATACCACAAAAGCAGAATAAAACAAAATAAACAAGACCTGGAAGGTGTTTTCTTTTGAATTTGTGACACACAGAAGAATAAAGGAGGAAATAAGAAAGACAAAATTGGAATTATAAAATTATTAGTTATTTTTATATATGAAGCATCAAAATGCTATAGAAATTTAAATCCAGAAGTATGTTTCTCATTTAATTCCTAACCATAGGCAATTTTTAAAAGTGAGCAGACTAATCTTTAACTGTCAGTTGTAAAAAAAATGCCTCAGTTTTATGAATAAGGAGAGTGGTATGAATAGTCACTTACTTTATGAAACATATAGAACAGCTTTTCTTGGATATGATCTGTCAGAGTAAAGCAGTTTTGAATGAAGCCTGAATCTGTTACAGTAATTGCAGCTTTGCCTGACACAGCATCCAGCCTCATCAGGTGTCCAGGTGTTAAACATTCCTCACAGCATAAAACAGTTGACAAGTTGAAGATAACCAGACCTTTTGTAGAAGTCAAAAATGTGGTTTGTAGCCAAGACAATAAGAGTGGTGTCCACGTGAGTGACAACCAAGGCACTGGGGGTAGTTAGTCAAAAGGAATAGTCACCATTGGCGTGTTCTATGGTGACAGTGTTTTTGATTAGTGGGTTGTGTGTGCCTGTGTGTGTGTGCGTGCACACACACATGTTCATGTGCCTGGGTTGGAGTGGGCAGGGCAGGGGTGATAATGTGTTTAAATTAGAAGAAATGTATCATTTTAATCTAAAGTTTTGCTGAAATTATGACCTTGTACAAGTACATTTTTACTCCTGACAGTAGCTTGTTTTGCTAAGCTCAGTGAACATTCCTTCTACTCATTAGGAAGCCATAAATAGATCAGTTTATATGAAGAACAACACAAAGTTATTTCACTTCAAACATCTTTGAAAAATATTTACTTTAATTGTCTTCCTAGACTTATTGTAGTGATGAAGGTGTTTGCAAATCCACTGCTAACGCTGAAAAGGTTTTGTGCCAGTTATACCATTAAAATAGCCAAGACACTGTTTTGTAAAATAATTGCATGGTGGAGATCCTGGGGAATTTGGAAAAAAATCATTTGAGTAACCAACCATTTATGATTTTACAGTGGAGAAGCTAAAGATTATTTAATGTCAAGAAATATAAGACAGAACATCTGAGCAAGATCAGGCATATTATTGCTGAATTCCATTCCTAATTCTTACTATTAAACTCTTCAGATCACTTTAATCTTATAAATCATCAAATCACTTCCAGTCCATCCCTGTCTGCCCTTTCCAAACATATTCAAACACACTCACTATTCTCTATCACTTGCATGCATGTTGAGAAACATAATGCTAGTTCTTCTTAGATCCAATGTCCATATTGTTGATATTTAGGGAAAAGATGAAAAGTGAGAATAAAAAAATCTTTGTTACAAATCCTTTGATATTCTGGTAATTTCCCATAGATGACAAAAATCACATATAGGCTACTATACATTTAAGAACTAAGGTACAGTTTTTATGGTAGGTTTGAAATTCAGGTACAGTAGAATAATTATATATCACATTGATTCAGAAATAACCCTTATAAAATTGGTCTACACTTTTTTGCCACTTAAAATGAAATGAATGTACTTTATACAAAACAATATATTTATTTCTGGTTTCTAATACTTAGATATGAGCCTTGCTCCACAGTTTCTGAATTTATTATAAAAGCACGCTATTGGATTACTACTAGAAAATGTTTCATATATATTGTGAATATTTTAAATAAATGTTTTTTTTTTAACCAAAGGAGTATGAGTTGCAGTTAAGGAAACACATATTTATATATACCTTGCTAGTGTAAGAAAGCATGATCAGTAATTAAAGTTCATTTTAAATAGAAACTTTTAGTAAAGTGATATCAGGGTTAGGACTTCATCTGATCAGTACTCAACAACAAAAAATAACTTATACTATACTCTATTTTCTGGGCAAGTTTGTGATTATCTATTAGAAGATAATGTGGATCAAAGCGAGGCATACATATTATTAAATATTTTGAAATTCATATTTGCTAGGCATTTCATAATATTGTCTACGTAAAAATACTTCCAACAGAAACTAGAAAGTTCAAGAGATTTCAGATTATAGGACAAAGAGAAGATTTGGACAGAGTAGAGAGCAGCCCTTAAGTGCTGCATGACTAGGCAGTAACTTGATTAAACAGATTAAGGTAATACTTTGAGGTAGCATTTCTCAATCTGGTGTCAACATCCTGTGGTTGAGGTGAATCTCATTCTTCATCCTGCAATACGTCTTTATTCCTTGTGTAGGGTGAGAATTAAGTATTAGAAATACCATAACTATGTTCAATTCAATAATCATTTTGTGAAGGACATGGCAAATCAAAAGCCTTTTTTGTCATTTTGTCTAATAAATGGAAAGATTAAATGATGAAATATAAATCGTTCATTTATCTAAATAATTAAAGTATCACTTTAACGCATTTTTAAAAAATACTCTGTCCGAAACTTACTAAGTTTAATTTAAAGGATACAACTTTTGTTATGTGGAACAATAATTTTTACCTAAAAGGATACTGCATCTACTTTTTTAAAGATTTATTTATTTATGCATGCAAGAGCTGGGGTACAGGCCAGAGATGCAGGGGGTGAGAGGATTCACCAGAGACAGAGTGGGGAGCAGAACAAGCAGAGACTGACTGAAATACACTGCTGAGGGGAACAACAGGCGAGACAGGAGAGGTCTGCTGCGCCATGTGGGTTGCTGCCTGGCCGGCTGGGGATTGAACTCATGCTGCAGAGGCTGCAGATTGCTTCATAGTGCAGTGCTTAACCCCTTGCCCTACCAGGGAGGCCCACACCTATTTTTTGAAGATCAAAATGTACCAGTGGGTACTGCTTTTGAAGCAAAAGGTCAATGTGTCTTTTTTCAATGTTGGCCCCTAGTGGCATTTTCTTAACATCAACAACTTATTCAGCTCCAAATCTTATTATAAGAAAAAGGGTGGGACTAAATCTTTTCTTTAATTAGATTTTTTTTAAAGATTTATTTATTTTTTTATACAAGAACTGGGGTATAGGCCAGATGTGCAGGAGGGTGAGAGGATTCACCAGGGACAGAGTGGAGAACAGAACAGGCGGACTGACAAAATACACTGCTGAGGGGAGCAGCAGGAAAGACAGGAGAGGTCTGCAGTGCCATGTGGGAACCTCGCTGGCTGGCCAGGATCCAACTGGCACTGCAGAGGCTGCAGATAGCTTCACAGTGCGGGCCTCAACTGCCTGTGCCACCAGGGGAGGCCTAGGGACTAAATCTTGTGGGTTAAATAGATATGGTTATTTTAGACACCCACCCACCTCCCATATTACTGCACTCTCATCTCAAATTCTTGTTCAGCTTGGCTCTTGGGGTAGGAATTTGGGGTACTTAGTTAACACACTCACTGGTCCTGAGGATGGACTTTTATTATTAGACCAGGCACTTAAACCCTTACCTCTCTCCCCACCAACCCCCTTATTCATGCAATATGCAAAGAACTGAATGACTAAATATTTGTGCTTGCTATTATGGGGTTATGAAACAAATAAGAAATAATCTCTTTATTGATATTACTTATATTCAAAGGAGGTAAATAATGTGTTACTAGGCTATTATAACAAAGTGCTATCAAATCATAGTCACAAGTCATTCATTCTGATTAGAATTGCGGAAACATCATAGAGCAAGTAATATTTGTGGTAACCTTAGAGTATCAGTAGAGTTTGATAGATGGGAGTGGGTGAGGGCTGGGAGAAAATATTCTTGAAAAGGAAAGAACACAGGAAAAATCCAGGAGGTACAGGAAGTGAAACTGCCACTTGCCTGAATTTAGAATCACAGTAGGATACTTTTCTTGTAATATTATGGATTAAACAACTTTTAACATTTGATGATTTGTCATTGCAATAAAGTTATACTCTAATTTGAGAAAAAAAATTTAAATTTAATGATTTCACATAATTTTTTTGTTTGAGTAGCAATGTTACATTGTTTTATAAAAGATAAAGGAAAAATTTGGATGTGCTACATTTAGTAAGAAGTATGTTAATTGCAAAATTTGATTTTTTTCTTAGTATATTTGGTGTTTATTATTAATATTACTGCTTTTCTATATTTTTTTAGCTATCATGAAGAAAAGGCAACCCTCTGCCCATTTGTGTTTATGCAGGTATCTGTTCTTTGCTTTATCTCTTTTCCTTGATAAATTTGTTGTGTGTTGCTGAAAAAAAAAATCAGAAAAAGTGAATTGACAAATGCCATGGAGTAACAGAAAAAATAACTAGTTTTAAAAACACTTCACATTTAAAAGTGGTAAAGATCAAAATCTGATTTTGAGAACACAGTGATGATGTGTAGATCATATATGAAGAGAATAATCATTCAGCTTATCATGTTTATTTTTGGTCTGCAGGTCCATGGTAGGTAGATGACAATCTCTGGATGAAATCTGGGTAAGGTAAAATGCTGAGGTCTATTCTTATTGGTGCCAACAAATTGTGAAAAATGCACACAAGAACCATGGGTGCTGACAATTCAATTTGTGGTAAGATATCATAAAGAAATGTGAAGAGATTAAGTAAATAACATAGTTTCCTAAACAGTCATTTAGAACATAATACTGCTAAAGAAATGAAATTATTTTACAAGCCTGACAGTAAATTATTAGCAATGATAAACTAAAGTCAGGTGAAACAGTTTAATCTTAATTTATATGAAAGCCAGTTAACTTTTCTCTATTCATTATTCATATGATACATTGAACTGTTTGAATTTTAGTAATAAAACATTTTGATGCCTTCAGAGAAACCTCTAATCCATCTTCTTAATTTTAAGCAATATAAGAATACAATGTGAGTTTTATCAACTCCCCCAAACTAGGTAAATAATATTAGGCTAAAGTGTAAATAATCTTAATTGAGCTTTGCTGATTCTCTTGAGGGTAATTTATATAAAATAGATTATCATTCACCATGTATGTAGCTATTTAGCTTGAATTTTTGAGTTGAGGACCAGAACCAGGACTTACAGGCTGCCCCTGGATCAGGATGCTGGTACAGTGCAACTGACAAGTCTGTACTGAGTTCAGCTTTACAGAATAGCACCTTTAAATCCTCCTCCAGGTCTAAGGTTTTGTGACAATTTAGGAAATTCTTATTGAATTTTTTGTATTAGAATGGACAGAAAAGTTAAAAAAAAAGTGAATAGAAACAATTACTTTGGTTCAAAATATGAATATAAACACATTGATCAAAGTATTTTATAATAAATTTACCCACAATCAATACATTCTTCGTAATTCAATTTGAGGTTGCAGGAAAATGATATAGGAAATGATGACTCTTGGTTTAGGTAAAGCATTAAAGATAAACTTAAATTGTTTTGCATGCACTTTTTTTCTACTTTAAGAAATATTTCAAAGGTGTTCATTATGAAGTTCACAACCCCAAATACTCAGTAAATATTTAAAGAGAATTAGCAATGTCAAATAATCAGGTTCTTCTAGTTAAAAATTAACACTTTTAGCTTATAAAGTGAACTTTCAGATTATTTTAGTTATTTGCAAACCATCAAACTTATTTATGACTATCTGCAAAATAAGCATGAATTGAAGAAATCAAAGAGGTATCTTTGAAAGAGATAGACTTTAAGACCAGGAAAATAAAATCTTGAATGTATAACAGGATATTTTATAACGCTGGTAGAATAAAATGTGCTCTAAGATGGATTTCATTTGAGAAATACATTTACTGTATAAAAACTTACAAAGTGTTACATTGTATATGTTATATTTAAATTTCACATATATCCAGTGGAACATGATATTTACTCCTATGAACATGGAAATTCTATACAGATTCTTTTTAGTTTACTAATAGACAAATTGGCAGCTTTGCCTTTACCTTTTCTCAAGTTTTTAAATTTTGCAACTAGATCAGGAAAACATATAGGGTAATACTCTCAACTTAAATTCTAAAAACTTTTCACCTGATGATGAAATTGAAATAGATTACATAATGAGCAAGGAAAGTTAAAACGTATGTGCCAAAATGAGAGGTATTGATGACCCTCTTTAGATATCACGTACCTCATACTGCTTTGGAATAAATCATATCAATAACTGCAATCTTTTGAAATGATGTAAACTACTTGTAGTTATGGTAAGTTATAAAGTACTTTTTTTTGCAGAAAATTAAAAACAGGGAAAACAAACCCAATGCTAAATGTTGTTGTACAATATCAGCCAACCTGGCAAAGCATAGTAGTGCCCTTGAGAGCTCTGAGGAAGGACACACCAAGCATAGAAGTCTAACTTCCAGTTACCAGGGCTCAGCTGAATGATTCCATGTTGGGTTCCTCCTACAATTAGGTGGCATGTACATGGAGACTGAGGCTCTAGAGAATTTTTCTCGACTGTCCTGTGTGGTACCTGAACTGGGAAGGTTGGAATTCCAGGCTCTACTTGGCTCTCTTTCTCTTCAGGAAGTACTTTTAAAATTTGTACTCAATGCTTTTTAGTCAAACAGGTGATGCCTTTTCCATATCACTCTGTTAAGATTGTTGCGCTTCCATCATGCAATAAAAGTTAGAACCACAAATCCAAAAATTCATTCTCTATATTGGGCCCTATGTTATGCTATTGTGGAATAATTCCTTAAAATTTTTGGACTCCTATTCATTTATCAAAGATTTAATAAGGTATGCCCTTAAGAACTGTAAGTTCTTTAGAACAGCAAAAACTTTCAATTGGACAGCACCTTTGATCTGAACAAAGGTCCACAGCAGTCTCTGATTCCTTTTTAGGTTATATTAACAAGATCTTCAATGTGCTTCAAGCTTCTGCCCAACACCTGGTGCAAAAGCTAATGCCATATATTCTATATTTCGCCCATGCAAGTACCCAGGAACCAGATTCTGTTTTAGCTATTCATTGTTGGATAATTATTTATCCTATCATTTAATGACATGCAACACCCACTATATTTTGATAGAAATTGTATGGGTTAGGAATTCAGGCAGGTCAGTGCCGGCAACTTATCTGTGGTCCTTACCTAGAGTGGGCAAATGGCTGGAGATTGCTGGGACAGCTTAAATAATGTTAGGTAATTTTTTTTCTTAGAGACCTTCTGGAGCTGGAATATCTAAGATGATTCCTTTACTCACATGTCTGGCAGCTGCACTAAGATGGTTATTTCTCCACATGGCCTCTTTTCCTGGCAGGCTTAGGTGAGTATTCTCATAGCACAGAGATCTTAGTTTGTTAGACTTTTTCCATGGTTCTTGTGATAAGTGAGCATTTCAAGAGGCTGCCATAAAACTTTTAGGGATTCGAAGCTATCTTATTTATTTTTATTTTTTTATTTATTATTTATTTATTTGTTTTTTTTAAGATTTATTTTATCTATTTATACAAGCACTGGGTATAGTCAGAAGCGCGGGAGGGTAAGAGAATTCACCAGAGCCAGAGCGGGTAGCAGAACAGGCAGACAGAATGAGGACACTGCTGAGGGGAGCAGCGGGCACAGCAGGAGAGGTCTGCGTGCCATGTGGGACTCTCGCCCGGTGGCCAGGTATCGAACCAGCGCTGCAAAGGCTGCGGGCAGCTTCACAGCCCAGTGCTCAACCCCTGCGCCACCGGGGAGGCCCAAGAAGCTATCTTTAAACTCATGCATTATTATTTATGCCATTATGTTTTGGTTAAATATGGTCAGAGCAGGTTCAATGTTGAGGTGACTTCATTAGGGTATGGATAGCAGGAGGCACGGTTCATTGGGGATCATTTTCAAGATTTAATTACCACAATGGCCATTGCCCAAACAAAATATGTGACTGGAGACCAATCAGACCATGAATATAAGTTTAGGTAAACTGGAGTTACAATTATGGTAAAATTTATGAATCTTAATTTACTTTCATCACTGGGTGATTTTCATGTTTTCTCCATCAATAAAGCAAAATTCATTCTATTGGGGCTTTTGTGAAATCTTCATAAATGTCTATGGCAATTTCATATATATTCTGTATATAGCAGGCTGAGATAATGTTAGATTTTTTCTTTCTCTGAGGTTTATTGCTACAAAAATTAATGATTTGAAACATTAATTATTTTTGTTCCATTAGATGTATTTGCACATTTGTAACATTAAATAAAAGAATTAAAAGAATTCTCATTCAATCCCAAGAATTCACTATGATAATTTCTCCCTTTCCCCAATTTATTATATCATCCCATGGGTGACTTATGTGGTTAAAACTGAATTAGTTTATAATAAGGTGTTTGAAAATTCAAGCCCATTGAAAAATTTTCATTATTAACCTTGAGCTTTCAAAAATGTCATTTTCTATTTGTTAACCTGAGTAACTCTCCTTTGACCAAAATGCACCTTGGGAATTCTAAGGAGATAAATGTTTTCTATATATTAAGATGCAAGCTTTTGAGAGAGCTGACTCACAAGGGACAAATTGTGTGGGATACTGATACTTTGTTAGTAAAATAGAGACTAAAATGCTCTGTGAGTATGTCATTATCAGCTGAGACATTCTGGGCGCAGCATGGAACACATACTGTGACTAATGATCCTGAGGATGAGAAGTGTGGAGCAGGGCATAAAATAGGATTTGAATACACAAACCTTATGTCACCCATCAAATTTGAACAGGAATATTGTGTCTAGGAACATGAAACAGACCACCCGTTTTGTAGGGTCATGGAACCGGAAAAAAGAAGATAAGATAATGAATTAAAGAGGGAAAAAAGGAAGCAAACACATCACCCAGATGGCGAATAAAGTATGAGATAAGGTACAGAAGCAGGGCAGTGATGCTGTAGTTACATGGTTTTGCTTTTCACATTTTTAAGTGAGTAAACTAGGGTACATTATTTAAATAGCCTGGTTGTAGTTTATTTTCTTTTCCCCCTTTTCCTTTGTGTACATCAGTTCAAATTATTTCCACACTGGAATAAATGACACTGACATAGATACAGGTGGCGAAATGCTCCTCTGTTAGTTTTTCTATTAATTCAAAACAGAAACAATCTTTCTCCATCCACCTTTGCCTTTTATTCTTTGGGTTCTTTAATATCTTCTTCCAGCTTCCCCCAAATTGTTACCACTACAGCTGCAAGACACACACTATTGAATAGGGCACATCTATAGGGAGAAGGCAGAAGTTAAAGGTTTTGGTTCAGCGAGTGGTCTCAGATGTCTGTTCTTTGTAATATCTGGGGACAATTACACAATCTGCATATGAATCCTTTTATTTTAATGGAAAGAAAGTGCATTTTCTCTCTCCATCTTTTTTTGGGGGATGAGTTCATTTGTTATTCTTGACTAATATTGAAGCATGTTTCTGAGGGTGTGGGACAGGGATGTGGCGAGAAGGAAGCACCCATTATGTCCCATAAATGTTTTCTCAGGCAAATTTCTATTTGAACACAGATTCCATTTAACAAATGGAAATAATCCTGGTAATGCTGTTTTGTAAATTTTATTTTCTGTGGGACTGAAGCTTAAAATTGAGTCCTGTAATCTGTTTATTCTTAGTTTAGAGCAGAAGGCATGATTAAAGCGAATGTGCTTTTGATCCTGAATGTTTGACAGATAGTGAATGTTTGAGACCACACAAGATTAGCTGAAGTTGTTGGAAGTAAACTTTTAGAAGGGAAATATTAGGCTACTTTCCTCCAAATATGATTTTTGGAACTCTTCCTGAAAGAGTTCTACACACCTCCACAGTATTTTTATAATAAGTCCACACCTGGGAATCTGTGTGTTTTACTCTAGGTGTTTGATACAGAGGTTTTTGAAAGGTATCAGACATAAATGAAACCACCTGGAGACAATGACCTTCCCTGGCCTGCTGGGGATGGAGTTATTCCTGTTACTGCAGCTTTGTCAGCTGCCACTTTGTTCTTTAAAGTTCCTCTAAAAATAAAATCCATCAAAAGGTGTCATTGAGATTTTATAGGTGGCAGCATTTCTACTTTTATGAAAGGTTGTTACTAAATATTTGTGAATAATATTGATAATGCCTATTTAATATTTATGAGGGTAAACTATATGACCCAATTCCTGGAATAAGTTAAACTGTTCAAAATCAAGAAGCCTGGAAGAATAAAACAAAACAAAGGTGTGTAAAATAATCATTTCCTCACCCCCACATATTAAAGTCTAAGAGACAACCAGGAAAGCAGATAATCAATAAGAATGATAGATTTTTTAAAAAGCTTTATCAGCTCTGCTGATATTATTATCTTCAGGCAGACAGAAAGTCAATTTTTCCATAAATTGTATAGTGTTTGAATCTCCATTTGTAGTGGTTCCTCTTAAGTTTTCAAGAACTTATAAAAACAGACTGGTACATCTTGTGAAACCGGAGAATTTGGAGAACCATATGTGAAAGATACCCAGATATTTCTCCATGTGTTGGATGACCAAGAGAATTAATAGTGTTGTGAAGAAGTGTTTTTTTGTGCCTTAGAATCAATCATTCTTAATAATTGCTACTTTTGTATGTTATATAGTCATCTTATCAATAAATTCAGGTTTCCCCAATTTTCTCTAAATAATCCTTAATATCTGGCATTACAAACTAAGATTGAATCCAGGATCATGTTATATGTACTTTTTCTGTGCCTTACTTCTCTTTGAATCTGGAAAGTTTTTGTTGTTGTTTGCTTGAGTGGTTTTCATTTCAAACACTTGTTAAAGAAACTATTCTGATTTTATGGAAGAATGGCCTTCTTTTCGATGTATCTAATTGTTTTATTAGGTATCATACTATTTCCTTATCTCCTATATTTTCTGCAAATGTTATCGTGAATCTGAGTACTTGATGGAGTCAAGTTATTTTATTTTCTCAGCAGAATGAGTTCTAGATGATGTTGGTAACTTCATGTTCCATCAGTCTAGACATCTCATAATACATACATGTATCAACTCATGGATTTTGAACTTGACCAGTAAATCATAGTGATTTAATGTTCCATTGAACTCTTTGGTGCTTTGCTCCATAACTTGAAAGTAGCATGTGCAGTAGCATGTGCAGGTATTTTGGGACCACATCTATTATTTGCCTAATGATTTTAACTTTGCCATTTTTGTTTTGATTTGCTGATATTATTTTCCATCCTGGATGTTTTTTGTTTCAATTAACCAAATTTATACTTCTTTTTCTTATGGCATCTGTATTTTAAGTTTTATTTGCAGAAACTTACTTTAATACAACATTAATGTCTTTTTAGATTTTTTTTTTGAGTTCAAATTTTTATTGAACATGTTACAAAAGACCTTTAGTCAAAAAGACCAAAGCTCATGTCTTCATCAGACTCCTCAGATTCTTCTTTCTTTGCCTCTACTTTCTTCTCCTCAGCTGGAGCAACAGCAGTGGAAGGAGCAGGGCCACCTGCAGGGGCAGCCCCTGCAGCTGGGGCAGGCCCACCAGCCCCTACATTGCAGATGAGACTTCCAATGTTGACATTGGCCAGGGCCTTTGCAAACAAGCCAGGCCAGAAAGGTTCAACATTTACACTCGCTGCTTTGATGAGCACATTGATCTTATCCTCAGTGACCGTCACCTTGTCGTCGTGCAAGATGAGAGCCACTGAATAGATGCAGGCGAGCTCCGAGACCAAAGTCTTGGTGCGGGCAAGGGCTGGACAGACGCTGCCGGGCGCAGTGCTAGTCACCGGATGAAGTGAGGGGCTCACCCCAACACAGCCTTAGCTTCCTCGGAAGGACCGAGCACCTTAGCGACAGCTGAGGAAAGCTCTTTCTAGATTTTTTTTTTTATTTCCTTTTTAAGCATTTCAAACTTCAATCTATTTATAGTTTATGTTGGTGTATAGTGTGGTACAATTCTAAACATATTTTTTACTTTTTTATTTTTTACAAACTGCACCATATTTGACCCAACACCACTTATTGATTATTTCTCTATTTATTTACTAACTTATTTACTTACTTATTTTAAGAATAACAAATGTTCATTCAGAAATGTGTAATATATATTCTTCTTCTCTAATGCTGCTTACTCTCCTTTAGAACAAAAGAGGAATATATGGGGGTGTAGGAGAGTGAGAGGTAGAGACACAAGGAATAGCCCATGGGGATGCCCACAGCATCCCCATGGCCAGGTGGCCACAGCTCAATGGAACTCTGATAACCAGAGCACCTGCCAAGTTCTGGCACTGAGCTAGAGTGTGAAACCATGCAGGGAGGCTCTTTATCACTGGTAGCAGAGTCCAGTGATCCACCTATCCTCAATAACTGGGAATCCAGTTCCTGCTGCCTTGGGGAGCATTCGGGCCACAAAGGGGAAAGTCAACACCATTTATTAAAATATTCATCTTTAGTTTACTGATTTAAAAGGTTATCTTTAACATATACTAAATTCTTAAATGTGTATGACTATATTTCTGACTTTTTTCGTTTTATTTCTTGCCTGTTTTTTCATATGCTAATACCAGTAGTTTTTGAGGCCTTATGATATAGCATAGTATCAGGTAAGACTAGTCCTATCTTCTTTTTTTTTTATAAAATTAATTAATTAAAAAAAAAGATTTCTTTATTTATTTATACAAGCACTGGGTACAGTCAGAAACGCGGGAGGGTGAGAGAATTCACCAGAGTCAGAGCAGGGAACAGAACAGGTGGAGTGACGAAATACACTGCTGAGGGGAGCAGCGGGCATGGCAGGAGTGGTCTGTCATGCCATGTGGGACCCTCGCCAGAGGCCTGAGGTTGAACCGGCTCTGCAGAGGCTGCGGGCAGCTGTTGCACCACCAGGGGAGGCCCTAGTCCTAGCTTCTTTTTCAGACCACTCTCTGATCTTCTAATTTGAAATTTTTTTCCATATGAACATCAGAAACAATGTATCTACTTTCATAAAAATAACTTGGTATTTTGTAAGAGTCAATTTTGAATTCCTAAGTTATTAAAGATAATGAACATCTATATGATTTTGTTCTTCCCATCTACAGCATGACAAATCTTTACATCCAACTCTACATTTATGCCCTTCAGGAGTATGTTAAAGTGTTGTTCAAATAAGAATCATTTCTTTCAAAAAGGATTAACGTCCGTTTTATGTTTTATTACTCCCAAACTGATAATTTGGAAAGCATGTGTACATATATAATCTGACATTAATACATCCTCCCCTTTCTTGTGGGCTAGTATACCTTTATGAAATGTCTTAATTTCTTCATTTTCTGCTGTGTCCTTTCTTTTTTTGTGTGTGCTTTGTTTTAATATACTTATCCATTTGCTTTAAATTTATTGTATGTTTAATGGAGGACTTTTGTTATAACCTATAATGGTGTCCCTTTGTATTTCTTCATTTTTGAAGGCATTAAATAGATTGATGCAGAACTATGTTTTATATCATGTAAACTTAATTTGGTGTTTTTAAGACATACTCTTAGTTGAGAATTTAGTATTTTAAAAAAGACTTAAATAGATTTTATTCTGAAACAAAATTGTCCATGTATTTTTAAAGCATATGTGTAATTTTTTTTAAAAGTTAGTAAGTATGCAGTGGAAAATAAATTGTAATCACCACTTGTTTTTCCCTGCTGTTATTAGAGAGTCTGTTGCAATAAATCATATCATATAAATAAAATAAATCACATCAATAAAAATTGATAAGTGGATTATAAAGTGAAAAATATGGACATGCCAGTAAACATTATATTCTATGACTCATAGGACAAAAAATTATACAGACTTTATTTATTTATTTATTTATTTTTTATTTTTTATTTTTTTTTTTATAGAGGCATGCTTTATTTATTTGTTTGCTGGTTTGTTTGTTTGTTTTGTTTATACATGCACTGGGTACAGTCAGAAGCGCGGGAGGGCGAGAGAATTCACCAGAGCCAGAGCGGGGAGCAGAGCAGGCAGAAGGACCGAAGCACACTGCTGAGGGGAGCAGCGGGCGGCAGGAGAGGTCTGCGCACCATGTGGGACCCTCCTCTGGTGGCCGGGAAGCAGCCGGGGATCGAACCGGCGCCGCAGAGGCCGCGCGCAGCTTCGCAACCCAGCGCTCAACCGCTGCGCCACCGGGGAGGCCCAAAAAATTATACAGACTTTAAATTAACATTAATAATTTAAATTTGATCCTATGCAGTTGATCAAAGAGAAAAAATATTGTTCTGTAGGCAAATTGTAGACAGAGTACTCATATCTTTAGACATATTGTAATTCACAAATTGTATTTCCTAATTTTATATAATAAAATAGAATTGCTATTAAGACTTTAAAAGATAAAACTCTAGGGCCTCCCTGGTGGCGCAAGGGGTCAAGGAGCAACCCATGAAGCTATCCGCAGCCACTGCAGCACAAGTTCGATCCCTGACCAGGGAGGTGACCCACTTGGTCCAGCAGACCTTTCCTGTCTCGCCAGCTGCTACCCCCATCAGTGTACTTCAGTTAATCTGCCTGTTCTGTTCCCTACTCTGTCTCTGGTGAATGGTCTCACTTCCCACACCCCCAGGCCTCTGGTCTCTACTCCAGTTCTTGTATGCATAAATAAATAAATCTTAAAAGATAAGATAAAACTCTATATTCCAAAGTGTCAATTTGAGAACTTCTGCTAAGTTTAACAAGGAGTCTGTGGACAGGCTATTAATCTAATCATGTATCAATCTATTAAGAAAATGATCACATATGATATTATATCTTGCAGTGCAAGATGGCATATGTGTGAGGGAAGCATCATACATATTATTTTTGCTTGGAAGCCTATTCTGAAGCTTGTACATGAAGTTCATGTTACTTGAAAAAACTGAAATGAATTGCTATATTTTTTCATAGCTTGTTATCTGAAGAAAAATTGAGGGAAATGTCTACCGAATTCTAAATTTCTCTCATATTGTAGGGAAACAAATTGAAAGGAAATATGTAAAGCAACAGGTCTATTCTCCACCCAGTTATCAAGGCTGTAACTTTTTTTTTAAAAGTGTAGGCTGAAAATAAACCCTTTCCTAAATGGGTATAAGAATTAAAACACGGGCCTTCCTGGTGGCGCAGCGGTTGAGCGCTGGGTTGCGAAGCTGCCCGCAGCCTCTGCGGCGCCGGTTCGATCCCCGGCTGCTCCCCGGCCACCGGAGGAGGGTCCCACATGGCGCGCAGACCTCTCCTGCCGCCCGCTGCTCCCCTCAGCAGTGAACTTCGGTCCTTCTGCCTGCTCTGCTCCCCGCTCTGGCTCTGGTGAATTCTCTCACCCTCCCACGCTTCTGACTGTACCCAGTGCTTGTATAAATAAATAAATAAATAAATCTTAAAAAAAAAAAAAAAAAAAGAAAACACAGTGAACAAGTAGGAAACAGCTGTTAAGCCATTGTTCACAGAACTTAGATCTTTAATATTTTTGGCTACCATACATTACTAAAGTATTCCTGTTACTCTCATTGACAATTATAGTTATTTTATATAACAAAACCTAAAAGCATATGCTGATTAGGGATTGTCCTAAAAAATATGCAGATCTAAAAACAAACTTAGTACACAATAATATTGAAATTGAGAGAAATCTGGCATCTTCAGATTATGAAAATAAGATTACTGATAATAGAATAGACAGAATTATATCACTCTGCAAGGGGTTCTTAATGATCTTTGATAGATGAGACATGTGCATTTTTAGTTTAGGTTATCTAATTTGACTTGATTTTAGAGAGCCCAGAAGTTACTTCAAGCCAGCAATTTGTTTAATTGGAAATACAATCTTCACCACAAGTTATCATAACTTTCTCTGCCTCTGAATAACGGTGAACACTCTTGTTATTGATTAACATGAGATTTTGTTAATATCATGGAAAGAAAAAGGATATAATTGGATTCACTTTAAATAGAAAATTGTTGGGTGAAGGGAGGTATGTAGATTATAATTGCTTGAATTCTAAAGAAATCTAAATTCTTCTGAATGCTTCGTGAGATGAAAGGTGGCTTCAATTTAATGTGGAAAGTCTTATTATAACTATGTCTATTAAAGCATAATAGACATATGGAAATATCTTGTGACTGAACTGAAGTTCTCTCTTTCTCTCTCTCTCTCTCTCTCTATATATATATATATATATATATACAGTACATTTATTGTGTTTCTGTAAAAAGCCAAGATTAAAAGAAGTCTTGATACTGGCAAATCCATGGACTATTATGATTATAGGGGGAGAGTTCTATCATTTGCTATATTACTTAGGACTCCTTTGTTATGTTTAATACATCCAGGCATTATCTTTTAAGACTAAAACTTATTCAGAGTGGCTGACATTAGAATTAATTTTGGTATTTGAATACATTTTCCTTCTTACTTATTGGCCCCTATGATTGTCCTGTGGTATTTCAGCAGAGGCTAGTTAGCTTTAAAGAACAATAGATTTTCTTTGTTTAACTGATTTCATAGAGCTTAAGTGCTTTACCCACATGCTTTTAAGGGATGCCGAAAAGTCCTAGAGATTTCATGGACAATTATGCAGTGAACCTAAGTCTCTCTAAGTAAGAGTGAGTTGGGTTTTCAAAATGTAGTTGAAGGAGAATTGAAACCACGTAAAGCTTTTAAACTAAATATTGTCATTAAGGTTATTGATATAAGACTATCACTGCTTTAGGAGTATGATTCTGAGAAATTAATACTTTTAAACAAATATGAAAACTTAAAAATGTAAAATAAATTT